AAACATGGCTTATTTTACAAATCGCTTTCAGAATAGCAGTTTAAATTTCATTGTGTGTTGATGGCTTGACTGTAAACGACATAAACAATGCAATGAACAGTTTTGAAAAAAAATCTTCTTCATTGAAACTTTGAAAATAAGCATAATGATAATAGCATGTTTTCCCACTGTGGGGACTTCTTTAGTATAATATGACTGGATTATTTCTGTCTTTAAAAAAAATGCCCATGAGAAATTTCATATTTATTGCCCCAGTGTTAAATGAAATTTTTGGCCATGAGCACATTTAATACAGTTACATTACATAAAAATGTCTCATAACAGATTAAAATGTGTAACTATTAAAAATATACTACAATGAAAACAACTAATTCAATATTACAATATAAGTATGTTACACATTTATTAGGCTATATCAAATGATTACACAATTTAACACAAGTTTAAAAAAAGTAAAAAATCAGGCAAATAAGCTACATAATGGGGAAGTCCACAGTTAAACAAACTTCGTTAATCTGAACTCAAACAAACAACTATCAATCAATCAAACAAACAAAAAATAGTTTGCATTTCAACTATTTTATTATTTCATTCATAGTCATGTACGCCAGGGGACGCTGTTGTGCCGCAAGTGACATAGTGCACTCTATTTATTTTCTTTACCTTTTAGGGTAGTTTTAAACTTTTTTTGTTTGATATATAACTAGTAATAAAAATTTAGGTAAAGTTGGTTTTATATTCGCACATTTGGACTTTCACCTTCCAAATATAATAAGAAAAGTTTTCATTGGAATTTCTAAATGATCAAATTATATTAACAGCCAATCAACGTCAAAGTACAACATTGTTCACAGTCAAAAAAAATAGTGCTAATGTTGTTTTTAAGTCATACTTGCATGTGATTTCAGACCCTATATTCAAAGTATCACAAATTCTAACTGTTCAGAAATAAACAAATGTGTGATTATAAAACCAGCCTTACCCCAGTTCGATAAGAAAGGGAACTCTGGAAACAAAAAAGAGATCCACATCATCATAAAACAGGCAAAAAAGAAAAAAAATCTTAAGCTTTAATAGACTATAAGTGACATGCAATAGAGCACAACCAATTATTTTATTGTTATTAAGTGCATTTTGAATAAATGAACACTTTGTTTTTGTCTGCCACATATACATGTAATCCAAATTGTGGTGATTAAGCTGACCAAAGCTACAGAATGAAAACATTTAAATTATGCAGCATTCTTGTGAAGAGAACAAAATACACAGAGGCTCTCAAACATGTAAATAGCTCATAAAATTGAATTAATTATAGCCTAAAACATGGGTGACACTGTGGCTTAGTGATTAGCCCTATCGCCTCACACTAAGAAGGTCTCTGGTTCAAGCCTCGGCTGGGTCGGTGTTTCTGTGTGGAGTTTGCATGTTGGTGTGGGTTTCCTCTGGGTGCTCCCGTTTTCCCCACAGTCCAAACACATGCGCTATAGGAGATTGGATAAGCTAAACTTGCTGTATGGATATGAATGCTGTATGTAACTGTATGGGTATGAATGAGTGTGTATGGGTGTTTCCCAGTGCTGGGTTGCAGCTGGAAGGGCATCCGCTGTGTAAACTTATAGTGGATAAGTTGCTAGTTCATTCAAGAAAATTAATGAATGATGACTATTTAAATTAATTATTTAGAATTTAGACTTTGATAAAGTGTTTAATGTACACTGAAAAAAATTATTCATTGAATTTACTGCTTTTTTAAAGGTAAGTGGTTGCAAACAATTTATATGGGCTGAATTTAAACAAACAAATTTAGTTTTGTTAATTACACTAAATGAATTTGTTTGTTTAAATTCAGACAATGTAAATGAAATCCTGGATTTAATGCAATAAATCCAAATGAATCTTTTTTTCAATGTATATAAAAGACTTTATCAAAGTTTAAATTCAGAATTCATAAACTATTTTCTCACATTAATCACAAGTCATGTTTTAGCACAAATCCTCATTAGGGCTTCCCATAATAAACCATGACATCACTCTTTCTCACGACCTCTCATCCCTTCTCTTCCTCTGGGCTCATGCGATCCCCCTCTTCCTCTCTGTTTTGTTCCATGGAGAGTAATGACATGGAGGGTAATTTTGTGACCCACTTTTTGTCCCTGTCAGGCCTAAAACACTGAACTCACAAACACTAAACAAAAAAACAGATAGTCTAAACATTAAGCATGCATGGGTAAGCAAGAACTCTGTGAAAGCTTTGTGTGTGCACTGTAAAAATATTGTGTTGGGTAAATGTATATTTTAACAGAAAGTGTGTGCATATGATTCACTTGTGTTTACACTTTTAAAGGGATTACAGTGCTCAGCATATATAGGTACACCCTTCACAAATCTTTCACTGAATTTAATATTTTCTATAACAAGTTATACAATATTATATTTGTGCATATACATTAGATTAGTCAATACTGAAGCCAAATCTGGAGCTTATCTAACAAAATAACTTACGATAATGGTCCAAAAACTAGTACACCCAAATTTATGTTATAGAAAAATATTAAATACAAATAAAAAAACGTAAAAATCAAGAGAAGCATAAAAAAATACAATTTAGATGAAATTTCATCATTTTTTTTGCAATATTATGCTTAAATTTAATTATATTATCTTTCCATTTCTAAAGATGTTCAGTAAATAAAATATTCATTCATTCATTTTCTTGTCGGCTTAGTCCCTTTATTAATTCGGGGTCGCCACAGCGGAATATACCGCCAACTTATCCAGCAGGTTTTTACACAGCGTATGCCCTTCCAGCTGCAACCCATCTCTGGGAAACATCCACACACACACACTCATACACTACGGACAATTTAGCCTACCCAATTCACCTGTACCGCATGTCTTTAGACTGTGGGGGAAACCGGAGCACCCGGAGGAAACCCACGCAAACGCAGGGAGAACATGTAAACTCCACACAGAAACGCCAACTGAGCCGAGGCTCGAACCAGCGATCCAGCGACCTTCTTGCTGTGAGACGACAGCACTACCTACTGCGCCTTTGCTTCGCCCCTAAATAAAATAAAATATTATTTTAATAAATATATCTGTTTAATAAATCTGTTTTGTTCAAATGCACCAATATATATTACCGATATTCACTTCATTTTCAAACTGGGGTGTACTCAATTGTGCTGTCACTGTATATGCACATGTTCTCTGTTCTGAAAACGTTCGATGTTGAAAATGTATTTTGCTGTTTTGCAAAGCAACTTTGATTGTCATTTTAAGTTTGAAATTATGCATTTTCAGACCTGATCATGTAAATCTGGGGTCACTTGGTGATTTCCAAAAATATTATATATGTTTTTAAACCTTTAGAACAACCATATTTTTTCTATACCCTACAGAGGACAAAAATAATGTTTAATGGTTACATGAAATAACAACATGCAAATAAAAAGCCATCAGACTTTTAATTCATTTTTCAATGGGCTGCGACCCCTGGGGTAATTATGCTTGATTAATGACACAGCAATAGGGTTAGTTGCAGCAGATTTATTTTACGGCACAATGTTAAACTTTGACACCTCTACGAAACTCACATACTGTACATAAAAAAAAAAATAAAATGAAGGCCACGTCTGAATATGGCTTCAAGTGGTCTCCAAATTTAAAAAATGAATAGTCTTGTGCTGTAAACATTGTGCTCACCCTTCTCATTTAGAGATTAATATTAAATGAAACAAATAATGGCTATAAAAAAATGATATGGTTGTTAGACTGTTTCACTTTTTTGTGATGTCAATAAGCTTGTTTATATAGTTCCTATTGGTGTGTGTGAACCAATGTGTGTAGTGTTTGTATGTTTACAACCACCTCCAAAGATAGTGGTGGTTGCGAGAATTGTTGTTTTGGGGGTCACGAGCTGAAACGTTTGGGAACATGTGATGTAAATGATGATACAAAAGCTAGGCAACAAGCTGGTACTTTTTCTGGATATTACACTAGTTTATTAAAAAAATACAATAATATTATTTAACTTCTGTTTATAGATGTAACTCAATATTTTATAAACCTAGTATATTACCTCTCTAGGCTATATATTGTGTGATATGAAGGCCACATTCAATTTTTAAAACAAAATACAAAATGGCTTCATGTCAAATCATTATGAGATGGTGTATATTTTAATGTTTTTCATAAATAATTAGCTAAATTCTTTGTTTAATGGTGTCACGGTGGTGCAGTGGGTAGCATGATCGCCTCACAGCAAAGAAGGTCACTGGCTTGAGCCCCAGCTGGGTCAGTTGGCATTTGTGTTTGGAGTTTACATGTTCTCCCCATGTTCACGTGGGTTTCGTCCGGGTTTCCCATACAGTCCAAAGACAAGTGCTATAGGGGAATTGAATAAACTTAATTGTCCCTATTGTATGTGTGTGAATGTGAGAGTGTGTGGGTGTTTTCCAGTGTTGGGTTGCAGCTGGAAGTGCATATGGTGGATAAGTTGGCAGTTCATTCTGCTGTGGTGACCCCTGAATAACAAAGGGACAAAGCCGAAAAGCAAATGAATGAATGAAGTAATGAAATAATTTGTTTATATGCCAGTAACTTATTTATTTCTATTTTATTATATATTTTTCATAATCAAAGAAATGTACATTTACGTTTAATTTCATTTCCATAGCTAATTATATTAAATAAATAAAAATAAACATAAATATATTACCCCAATTCAGTTTTATGGTTAGATTTAGACAACATATCTGCAGGAGTGTTTGTTGTCTCTACACGTAAAGCTTAAAGTACTAGTATAACGTTAATGCAATATTTATGTCCTTCATTTCCTCTCTCTAAAAGCATGTCAAATTAATGGATCTGGAAACAAGGAAATGCTGTGTGTGTGTGTGATGTCCATTAGAGGCTTTCCGATTACTGTAGTAAATCTCCGCTGCCTTTGCTATCGCTATGCAAACAATGCAAAAAAAAACTTACTATCATCAGCAGTACTGTAACTTTTACATTTGTATAACAAAACCTCCAACGGACCAAAAAAACTTTATAATTTTCCCCTTCCGATGATGAGAGCAGCGCTGTTGTGTTCATTTCCCCGAGTCTGTAGGTTCTGGGTGTGTCCGCTGTGTGTCAATCAAGACTTGCTCAATCCGCAAGCTCCTCCCCTTTCGCTTCTTCAGCTCGCTCCAGCGCGCGGTCTGTCAAGTCACGGCGCAACTTTTCTCAATCACGGGATTTTACATCACTTTTCTGGAGTACAAAAACTAACTTTTCCGGAGTGAAACGTTGTTGGACCGGCCTCTGATGAGATGGAGGTTTAGGAGGGGTGATTGTCGTAGTAAAGAGTAAGATTCGGGTCATATTTAGTGTTTGATGGCTGCTGGGGATGGAGCCCAGCTGCCGGCGACCGTAGCGGCCAGCAGGAGCGTGGAGAAGGCGCTGGAAGAGGCTGCGTCCAGCGGAGCGCTCATCCTCTCTAACCGCAAACTCAAAGAGTTCCCCCGCACCGCCAGGAACTATGACCTGTCCGACATTACGCACGCAGGTAAGACTTTAATTAATAAAGCGGCTAGGGGATCAGTGAAGGGGGCAGGGAATGCATTCAGTACATTTAATGTCCTTTGTTTGGGTGTCTTCTTCACCTGCGCCCCTTCTGTGCAGCACCATCATCATCACGCCCGACTCAGAAAAAGCGGATCTTTCACTTTTCGCAATCATTGTAGAAGGCAGATCATATGACAAGTTCATTTTACTCATCACTTTCGTTTATAAAAGAACCATCGCTGCTTATCGAGCAGCGTATTGTGTTTTTAAAGTCAGCTTGTTGAGTTTTGAAGCTGGCGTGTTTGCTTAAGAAATTGGAGACATTTGCGTTGAGCTTCTCTTCCTGTTGTTGAGGTGGAAATACACTCAGGCCGAGCCATCTTACCACAGAGTCAAAGTAAAACTTCGCATTTGATCTCTCAGCGCAGCGCAAAGGCAGCAGAAAAAACTGGCTGGCTGATAAAACTGTTATTTGTTGTAGTCAGCTTGTTTGAGTGCGTTCTTATTGGTAGGGAGCATCTTGCCAGCAGCACTAATATGACCATCTGCTCCACTTTCATACAAAGTGGGTATAAAGCAGTTTGTCTTTGAGCCATACAAACCCCCACCTCACTCTCACACACACACACACACACACACACACACACATGGGTCTGCAAGTCTCAGAGATTTTGTAGTCAATTCTAGAAGTATTTCATGACATGTATATGTCTTTTGATAAGTTTGTGATCCACAGCTGGTGTCAGTGTATTCTGTATTGTAATATATCCTGTTGTGATAATTTTAGATTTGTTAAACAGTTCTCAAACCACAGCAAATTTGCATGCAATAGAATGTTTTGATGTGCATATAATAATTATGTAAGATTGACATAACTCCCTTTAGGCAATGTTTTATTCAAATTGATGGATAGTTTAGAATATTCAATGTTATTGGGTGTACGTTTCTTATAAGGCTGGGCGATTAATTGAAAAGTAATCAGAATCGACATTCAAATATAATCAATCCAATTTTTTCAGTTACTTTCCCTACCGTGTGGCTCTGTTAAGCCTCTATGTTTATATATAAAGTAGAACGATGGACCCATTCTGCATTGGCGATGATTGGAAGCTGTGCCAGAGATTCCTTGAGACGGCATATTTTATGTTTAAAATAAAATTGTTATTTATATTTAAAATATTTGTTTACAGAGGATATACAAGTTGTTATATTTAGAAGAGATGCTGCTTATTTTCTATGTTTAATGTGAAAAACACTGAAAATAATTGACTTAGTTTACTATATTTATTTTCACTTTATTAAGAAAATAATGACTGGTTTCAGGCAATGTGTGTTTTAACTTTAGTTGTTTAACATTCATGTTGAATAATAATCATATTAGATAGTAGATAGTGTGTTTCCTTCAATTATTTTAAAACCAAGTAATGCACCCTTCATTTAGAAATCTCTTGTTATATGTGACCTGATTTATTGTACAAAACCTGTCAGTGAAGAGGGCAAAAAATAAATAAACAAAATAATAGTTCATTAATCGTAATTGAGTTAAAAGGTTCAATTAATCGAGATTTTGAATTCAGGCCAAATCGCCTATAGTCCTAATTTCTTATCAGTCCTGCATGGTAATGTAATTAGGCTTAATTTTAGAAAAGGAGCTTCTGAACCAAACACATGTTTGGGGTGAGGAGGAGGCCTGCAGTTTGTAATTCATTGTGCTCTGGTATGCCATTGTTAAGGGCATGAATGAGAATTATGTGGAGGTTATTCAATTAAACACACTATAATAACTAGCAAGAAGGACCAGGTCATCCAATAGGATTTAATCATCGTTACATTTGCACATTATGTACACGCATGATAACATATAGGGAAAAGTACAGCTTATGCCGAGTTCAGACTGCATGATTTTCAAACTAGTCTTGTCACAGATGTTTTCACACTGCATGACTGTCTGGGCTAGCGTTTCGTCGTTGCTTTGTTTACACTGCAAGATGGTTCGGCAACATGGACATTCAAATTGCATGACTTTACTATAACAGAATCGCCGACAACTTCGTCCAAACTACGTCTCACAGCCAAAAACATGTATATCTTTTGTTATTAACTACATAATGAGAAAGAAGCCTTTAATGGGGTAGAACATGTACATGTTTGCTCACCTGGGTTTAAAGGGAATTAGCCATTTCTCCTCAACGTTGATGATAAACTAATTTCTTTCTGTATGAAACGTCAAACAGACACGGGTGCTCCTGAGTCCTGTCAAACCTCCACGAGTTTTCCCTCCATTTCGTGGGTCCAAATAAACCGAAAAAGATCGCTTTTAACCACCAGCCTCCCGCTGGCCTGCAGTAGGTATACACACACGCACACACAAGTGAAAGCTGCTCTCTCATTGGCTGTAGGCGATCGCTGATGTTATTTTCAGTCAAAACTCAATTCACACGGCATGATTTGAATCGCCGACAGCTCCAGATTTTCAGCACGCCAAATATCTCACAGGCATCGGCCTGAGATTCTCTCAGATCGCGTCTTTGATCGTTCATACTGTGTGATTGTCACTCACGTGCACGAGCAGCGATTTGCCTGTGATTTCAGGCATTTGTCTGCGATTTCTCAAAACCTGTCGACGAGCCAAAATCGGGGCTAAAATCACGCAGTCCGAAATAGGCATTAGATTAATTAGAAGACAATCCTTATCAAAAATGGCTATTAAGAAGAACACACACATAAATGTGAATATAATAAAAAAATACAAAACATAATCAATAATATATGTTGCCATTGTGCTTAAGGATGAATTATTACTAGCATAGGACGATAACAGTTTTAAAGGTTTGGAAAAGTCAAGGTTTTAAAAACAACACAATTTTCTGTAATACCGTTCCTAAGGTATGGGTACGATTTTTTTAATTTACTTTTTATTTATTTATTTATTTTTTTAGGGCAACAGTATTTCCAGCAGAAAAGATATTAAAAAATGCTATTTTAAATTTTAAAGAAATCAGTGTTTTTGAAACTAATGAAGACAGCAGAAGTCAATAATTCATTTAAAAAGAAAATATGTTCAAAGGATTAGTCACAATACTGTAAAACCGTGATATTTTTATCCAAGATTATCACACCATCAGGATTTTATACTGGCACATCCCTAATTATTCCTACTTATTTTTTTTAAAATCATGACTTATACTGAGGCCATCATGTCCTATACTGAGCACACTGACTAATTTAAGACTCAATCCTCCTACACTGTAAAAAATGCAAGGTTCCACACAATTCCTTAATATTGTCCCAACACAAACCAATTAACGTAATAATTTTCACAATTTTAAGTGGATTGAACATCAAATATTTAAGTTACCCTCAAAACACCCTAAAGAATTGTGTTTACTCATTGTAAATAAGTAGTTTGAACAAGCAGCAAAAGCCTTTTTTGAGTGTAGCTCTGGAAGTTTTGAGTTTAGAAGGTCTAATCTCTCATTCTGTGGTGGATTTTGACACCAATTTTCTGCATGGATAACCAAGTTGCCTTGGTAACCGTACTGTACATCTGACTCTCCAAAATACAAATGCCAGTTTGGGATCAGTTCGAGGGTGCGGAACAATGCAGATAAAACTAGGCCTAGAACTGCCATATATAAAATCCAAGCCCTGTCCCAGTGTAAAAAATAAATCATTCCATAATAAGCATGTTCTGCAGACACACCTACCCTCAGGTGGAGAATGATTGCTAGGTTTTACTCCTATATTACTGGTTGCAGCTGCAGTGTGTATTGTACATATGCTTGAAGGTAGGAGGAAGATGACAGTGTCTCTTTTTACTAAAAGATCTGAGGAGGTAAAGATTGATAGGTACTGGTATGTTCATTTACTCTCAGTCTACACTTTACTTTCGCTCCTTCCCAATATAGACTAACTTTCCTTCAGGAAGGTCAGAGGTTCAGGCCCGCTGGAGGTCCAGTTCAGTGATGAAAAACAAATCCCTGACTCATCAATCCACCCAGACTCAAACTCCTTAAAAACAGACCAATAATACAGCCACTGTTGACTGCTCTCTACAACAATAACACAAGCTGTGCTGTGCTGTGCCTCAGCACTTTACTGTGAGATGACATCCCAGACTGCGTTTGTCCTAGAGTACAATAATTTATGTTATTTGAAGGAGGTGCTGAAAGATGAATGTGGAGAACGCTTAAGATAAGAGTTTATCAAAACAAAAAAAGACCACCGTAGAAGCAGCTATAGGACGAAAGTATTCCTGGACTAGGCATGGGCCGGTATAAGATTCTGATTGTATAATCTAAAAATATCACTGTATTGTGATTATCGTTCCAAAATATATTCTTTTTAAATGTCTGGGTAAAAAAGAACAACTTTGCCCACACACTATATTTTATTTTAGAAACATTTAAAACAATTTGGACCTAGCTTTTGATGTGGAGGGTCACTTTCGGGTGGAGATACAGTTGCCCCAAAAACTTAATAAAATAATTGTGAAAAACAGGTTAAAAAACAAAACAAAACAAACTTGCATACAGTTGAAGTCAGAATTATTTGCCCCACCTGATCATTTCTTCCCCCAATTTCTGTTTAACAGAAAGAAGCCTTTTTTTCAGAACATTTCTAAACATAATAGATTTAATAACTCATTTCTAACAGCTGATTTATTTTATCTGTGCCATGATGATTACAGTACAAAATATTTGACTAGATATTTTTCAGGACACTTTTATACAGCTTAAAGTGATATTTAAAGGATTAACTAGATTAATTAGGTTAACTAGGTAGGTTAGTGTAATTAGGCCAGTTATTCTTTAACGATGGTTTGGTCTGTAGACTTTTTATTCTAGCTGAAATAAAACAAATAAAAATTTCTCCAGAAGAAAAAAATATTATCAGACATACTATGAAAATTTCCTTGCTCTGTTAAACATCATTTGGGATATATTTAAAAAAGAGAAAAAAATAATAATATCGGGGCTTATAATTTGGCCTTCAACTGTA